TCTATTTAATCTTTGGCCCCTATTTCAGAAGTATTGCTGGCCTTTTCCTCTATTTATCGTGGACGATTACCTTGGAGAGTTACTTCGTGCCATCATTGTTACTAATCTGGTTGCAGTTCACCCTCAAGTTTACCTTGATATTGATATGCCCTCGGCGATTTCTAAAAAGAGAAATTGTCATTCTCATTGGATTTTTCGGTTGTTTCTGATTGGGTCATCTTCTATTCTTTAATCGCCATTGCCATTGCTATTGATCAGCAACCAAATAACACTACTGGTTATTCCTCTATACATGATCATTCTTCTTCGTTCTCGGACACAGGTAGCCGTTGGAAATCAATTTCGAAGGGACAAAGACAATGATGCAAATTTCTTTATTTTTGACTTGGAATAAGGAAAATAATTTTTTGCGGAAATGCTTTTCATTCTCAAAATTTCGATCCCAATGCTAGAAATGTGCCATCTCCACCTAAAAACATCTTTGAAAATGCATTTCCAAATAACCAAATGGCCCCCAAGTGCTTTGTCCAAGCAATCAGGGGACGATGGATTCCATCTAGGAAACTTCACATTGTCTTGGGCCCCAATGGATTATTAAGTATTTTAAAATATGGTGATTTTTGGGTTGACAATTCAAATTGGTAAGAACTGAACCAGTTTTAGAATAGTATGAGTCCCAGCCCAGTTCTCCTCTAAAACTCCTCTTTTTATTTTTTTTTGTTTCTCAAAGCTTATCTAATATTTTAGGTGGCTCCCCAAAATCCCCACCCCATAAATCTTTATATTAATTTTTATTTTATTTTATTTTTTAAATTTTTTGTTTTTTGGGATCACCAATCCAAACGATTTGAAAACGATCTGAATCACTAATCCAGCCAATCAGGATTGAGATTGGGGGTGGACGATCTGCCCCACTAATCGGTTTTTTGAAACACTAGGATTACTGCTTACATTTGGTCCAGGAAGCCAAACACATCCTCCCACCCTTGACATATTTTAAAAAACAAAATTTGATGTTCATTCTGCCCCCATAAAGTTTCAGAATTACTTTGTAGGGAAATAAACCAAGTTTCAAAATTGCTTTGCAGGGAAATTACTTTGGAGGGAAGGGGTATCCATTGTACAAGCTGAGTGTGTCATACACAGGCAGCGCTTCTCCTACTTTCGGTGTATATCATTTTGCTCCCTTCTCCTACTTTCGGCGTATATCATTTTCATAGGGATTGTGAGCCGTATATACCGTCACAGGTTGTGTACGCTAAACTTTCCCGTGATCCGAATAAAACACCAAGGTTTAAAAACTTGCTGCATTGGATCGGAATCGTACGATTCAACCTAAAAGTCGTTGAAGCCGGTCTAATTCCAACCGTATATTGAGAATTGGGCTGATCCAGCTGCCTTATATTGTTATTATCTTCTACGTTTTTCTTTTTTCCTATAAGTTTTTAGAAAAATTATCGCTAATATACCTATATGTTACTATAATAGAAAAAGAAACCCCCAATTTTTCAAAATATCACCTACACTTTTTTTCACAATTTTCGGCTTTTTTTTACCAAAATAACCTTCACGGTAGTCTTTTTACAGTAAAGAACATTACGGTAATTTAAATATCGTAATAAGTTGAAGGAGCATTACGGTAATTAAAATACCGTCATACCTTAAAGTAGTATTACGGTAATTTAATTACCGTAAAATTGCCCATGCCTCATTAAAAGGACACAAAAGATTTTCTACTCTCAAGAGAGTCTACTATCTATTTACTCCCTCGACAAAAATACATGCTAGCTGTATTTTTTAAATCTCAAATTTTTAAGATATAATCTCTACTAATTATAGAATAATTTCAACAAAAGATATTTTCCAAGTAAATTCTTCTGTATATTAGAAAAACCTAACACTTCAAGATTGAATAGAAACTATCCAATTTTCAAAGAGCTAGATTTAAGCGTCACAGAACTCACAATTCAATTCTTTCAAAAATAATTTAGTAATTTTTATATAGTTCTTAAAAGTTTAGAACAAAAACATTCATAAATAGGTGTTTTTGAGCGAGTTAGTAGATCCACATCGTGCTCTCATGGAAACATCGATTTTTTGAAAAATGCAGCTTCGAAGAAGACTACCGTGAATGGAGGACAGGGGTAACACTGAAATTTGCTTCGTTTTGAAGCTTTTCAACCACTAGGGGTTTGGAATTGATCGGGAAAGAATTACGGTAATAAGAATACTATAAAGACTTCACCAAACATTACGGTAATTTAAATTACCGTAATAATAATTCAAATTATTACCTTAATTAAATTACCGTAATACTCTTTGAATTTTTTATGGTGTTCTAATTACCGTAAAGCTTAAGCTGTATTACGGTCAAAAGACTACCATGAAAGTCATTTTGGTCCAAAAAAAGCTAAAATTTGTGAGAAATGTTGTAGGCGAGGTTTTGAAAAATTATGGGTTTTTTTCCCCATTTTACTAAAATAAAAGTAGATTAGCGATAATTTCCCAATTTTTTTAATATTTTTTCTCTAGGTTCTCTCGACCGGATCGTCAATCCATCAAGCTGATCCACCGATCTCAACCGCTTCTTGGGACTGGCAATCTAGGTCACCGAACCTTGTTTTAAACCTTGAAAAACATCATAAATCAATAAAAACATAAGAAAAATGTTTATATAAGGCCGAGGTTCTACACAATCAATTTAGGACACACCTCAAAAAATCACTAAGGGCCAGTTTGGATGTCAAATAAAAAAACCTTCACATTGAAAAAAATCATAAGTTTCTTCATCTTTGATTGAGAAACATTGTCGTCTTTTTTTATTAATATGCTGGATGGAGTTAAAATACTAAAAGTAAAATCACATTCTACGCTTCCAAATTCTCTTGCCAATCCAAAAGATTTTCCTATATCTTTCGTACAGTAAACAATTTGTTTTCATACAATAAGCAAACCTGCAACTCGAGATTCTCCTTATTCACAAAGATAAAGGGTTTCTCATGGGTGTGGTATGAGAGAAAATGCTTGTCTTTTGTAGAGAGAGAAAGGGCATTGGCCTTACAAAAATGCCTCCTAGGGCCGCCATGGATGAGGCTTGAGTTTTTTTGGTGTTTTGCTACCTAAGCTTCTACTTACTCATGAAGAGAAGGGGCTTTCTATGGGTGTAGTATGAGAGAAAAGACTTGCCTTTTGTAGAGAGATAAAGGGCCTTGGCTTTATAAAGTCGTCGCTTAGGGCTGCTTGAGCTTCTTTTATTTTTACAATCTGAGCCCTTGGGTGTGGTATGAGAGAAATGTTTGCTTTTTGTAGAGAGAGAAAAGGCATTGGCTTTACAAAGATGCCACCTAAGGCTGCCATAAATGGGCTTGAGCTTCTCTGGATTTTTGCAACGCGAGCTTCTCCTTATTTATGAAGAGAACGAGCTTCCCATAGGTGTGGTATGAGAGAAAAGACTTGCCTTTTGTAGAGAGAGAAAGGATCATGGTTTTACAAAGGCGTTGCTTAGGGGTACCAGCTTCTCTAGTTTTTTTAGAGAGAGAAAATGAAAATGCTCTGCTTATTCAGGGAGAGTAGATCTGAGGTTTCAGGGAGTTGTTGGGTCATAGGTTGAGGTTCTCACTGAGTGAGAGAGATGCACTTTCATCAAAAAATTCAAGTCTGATTTGATCTTTTTTTTTTTTGTAACTTTTGCCTTGACACTACAGTCTTTTTTATTTCAATTTAAAAATCTAATAAAATATTGATGTTGTCCAAACGGCTCAAATCTGTTTTACAAGATTTTTGAATTGCAATAAAAAAATATTGTACTTTTGGGTATATCCAAGCTGGCACTAAAAGATATTGCTTTAAAGCTCAAAAATCCTCAAATTGATCATGTCGACATCAAGATGTATGGACATGAGAAAAAATGGATTCAAGTTTTAAAAATAGTTCATCTTGTAATGCATTTAATACCGTCAATTTAAAAGATTTTCAAGTGTTCATAGATCTGCTCGATCTACACTATTTTTGAAGTTTTAAATTAATTAGATACAAAAACAATTTTTCAAGCCATTACAAAGATTTTGAGTATTAAAACAACATCTTTCAACACTATTTGAAGATGCACCTTACTTTGATTGTTTAGAACCTCAGCCTTATACAAATCATGCCAAATACATGAAAACCGGAGATATACAAAACACTTGCCATGCCCAAATTGCTTTACTCACTGCTATCACGCACCATTCCCTCACGAAAAGATATCCGCGTGCCACTCGTCCAGAGAGTTGTATACGAAATCGATGGAGTACTCCTCTACTCCCTTAAATCATCCACCTTCAATTCTTTGCAGCAACAAGCAAAATGACGGTCCTCTCCTTTTTTATGCTCCAATATAATTATTTAATCATAAATTAAGGGTGGCAATGGACCCGATCAGGCTCAACTCAAATGGGTAGACCCAATCACGAAATTTTAAACCCGAATACTCTTTGGATTTGGATCTAAGTTCAGCCGGACACGACCCATGTCTGCTACCACGGCTGGCATAAATTATATATAAATTTGTTTATCGAGAAAGAGCCAAGCGAAAAACCACACAACTAAGAGGCAACTAAGAGGGGCCTAATGGATCCTAGGGCTCGGGCTGCCATTCAGTGCGCCCGACCAGTGGATCTACAAGCCAGGCTGACAGCCCAATGACATTCACGGACCTAGCGCCGACTTTTGTTGCTGGGCTGACATTAGCCCGGCCTTGCTCTATACATATACAGAGCCAATCAGGTCGGCTTAGGTTTGGGCCAGGCTTGGGCACTCACTTCAATTATTAGAGCCCGGATGTTAAATTTTGACAAATTCCAGCAGACCACGTCAATATAGCCCTATTTTAGTCAATGTTGGATGTCTACCATTTAATTTGTTCAAGCTTCAAACAATCCTGAGTGGAACACTGCAACGTACAAGGCAAGCAACTCTTCTTCCATTCAATCTTCTCATTCTCAACAATAAAACTCGCAAACCCCTCAAAGCAATCGTTCTCTTCATTGAATCCATTCCCACCATGTCTCTCAGAGCAAGAACTAGAAATCCAAATGATCCACCCCAACACCACAACCATGAAACACAAGAAAAACATAAAGCAAAAGAGCCTCTAATTTCTATTGGGCCCAGCCTTAGCCAGAGGGCTCTTTCTCAAGCCTTGGCTAGCACTGCCAACTTAGCCAAGCTCCTACCGACCGGCACCCTCCTCGCTTTCCAACTTCTCACCCCGATCTTCTCAAACAATGGAGCCTGCGACTCTACGACCCGCTCTCTCACACAACTCCTCCTCCTCTTCCTCGCTTTCTCTTGCTTCCTCGCCTCTTTTACCGATAGTTTTCGCTCAAATGATGGCCAACTCCATTACGGATTGGCCACCCTCAAAGGAATGTGGCTCTTTGATGCCCCATTAGAACGAGGGCCAACGCAATGGATCGCACCGGAATTAAACAAGTACAGGCTCAGGTTCATAGATTTTGCTCATGCAGTCACTTCGGTGTTGGTTTTTGGTGTGGTGGCCCTTCGAGATAGGAATGTGAGGAGTTGTTTGTATCCGAATCCTGATCCCGAGGAGCAAGAGGTACTGAATATTGTTCCAATCGGAGTTGGGTTGATATGTAGCCTGTTGTTTGTTGCTTTTCCGACCACACGACATGGTATTGGATACCCTGTTACTGGAAAACCTTGATCAAATATTTTCCATGCTCGTCACAAATGCGTTTTTTTTTTTTCCGTCTCGAAACGATTGTAATTTATTAAATTTTGAATACATTGATGGCGTAATTACGATAAATGTATATATCACTCTTAAGATGATAAGAGAAAGAGGGGGTTGATTACGTAGGAGATGCTTTATTTTTTTTGGAAAAACATTTATACAAGGTTGAAGCTCTAAACAATCAAAGGGGCTTCTCAAAAATTCATTAAAAGTTGTTTTTTATGCCAAAATAAGATCATCTCAACCTTGAGATCATGGGCATAAAAAAAAAAAAAATTATAGATACTCCAAAATCAACTTTCTACACATCTTATCCCCAATACTTTTTTCTCGCACCCTAAACCTCATATTATTTTTTCTTATATTTACCCCTAATCAAATAGTCAATAAATTTTGAGACAAAAATACATTATTTTATATTTCTCTATTATTATTTTTTTTTTTCTTTTTCCTTTTAAATCACATGACACATTTGCTCTCTCTTTCTCTCTCTACTCCTCTCTTACTTTCTCTCTACCTCTCTCTCCATCCATCCTGTCTTGGTTTTTCGTTCTATTAATATTGTCTCTCACTTTCTGAATTTATATCTCTCTATGCATCTTGTCTCTTTTTTTCTTTCAACTTGCCCTCTCTTTCACTTTTTCACTCTCTCTCTACCTATTTCTCTTTCTTTACCTTCTTTTTGACTTTCTCTCTCTACCTGACATCTATCTCTCTTCATTTTTTTGATGAAATTTTTTTTTCAATCCTACATGCAGTGTGCCGGACCCAATTTTTTCTTTTACGATCAAGCACAAAAAAGTGTTGGACTGTAAAAAAACATTTTGGTCCGCCACAAATTTGTGCCAGACTAGGCCATAGGCTTATAGAAGTTGAAATTAAGCTTTTTCCATGTGTAATTTGAGAAGGGGTATCACTTGCTTTGTTGGAGAAAGAAGATGGAACTTGTGATAATGTGTTTCTTAACTACACATTACTACAAATATTTTGAAAAAAGTTAGAGTGCTTGTAAGAAGAGGTGTAATCAGAGTCAAATGCGTACTCAAGCCACGAGCTCGTCGTGTCGTCGTGCGTGTAAGTCTATTTCCCGTGTTTAGTATATGTCACTGTTCATTTCCAACAAAATCATGTTTACATAAATTTCTTTATATTCATACTTATTCATTGCTTGTACTTGTGAAGTTAACGTTTTGAGTATTTTATACAAAAAAAAAAGGTAAAACGTCAAAAGTTTGTGTCAATAATTTTATTATTTTTACTATTCATGTCAGTACATACTATTCACACATCAAATTTTAAACTCCACGAAAAACGTTAAACTATACGCGAAATGTTGAGGTAGTCCGTTAGACTATTATACTATTCATCGTAAGTAGGGGTTCAATCCCGGGGCATTATTCACTTGATACTATTCATGTATACTATTCACATGATACTATTCATTCAGCACTTTTCACGAGCACTATTCATCCATCATAGTTCATAGTTACTATTCATTTTGCACAGCACTATTCACTCATTTAGTTTTTATATTTTCATAACTAATCCCAAATTGTATTAGAATTTTACAGTATAGTAGTCAATAAGCTAATTATTAATAAACGTTTAAGTTTTAACACACTTCGCCCTAAATGATATCATAGCATTTTAGCTTTTAGTTATTAAATACGTAGATTTTACACGCTTCGACCAAATGGTATCAGAGCCAAAGACGATCCAAATGATCCAATAAACTCATAGGCAGAGCCAAATACAATCCAAATAATATGATAAACCTATAGTTTAAGAAAACCAAATTTAGATTAAGAGCCAAGTAATTAGTTTAAACCAGTGGCCAAACTCAAGTCAACTCAATACTTAGGTTGTTAACTAGAGTGTGTTACTAACTAGTACTGCTGAAATCTAGTTTTGCTTTAGAAATAGTTTTGTTTAAAGTTAAAATATAACTGGCAGTGAGGCCAACCGGTAGTCGAGGGTGGAAGCCAACCTGTAAGCAGTTATTTAATTTGTGTGGGAGGCCGTTGTATGCCCGTTTGAGATGATTACGGGCTTTTAAAGGCCGTTATTCACTGAAGCGGTTATTGCTAGGCATGACATTTTAAGCCTAAGGCAGGCCGGACGTAATTGCTAAAGGTTAAATGGAGACTTTGAACCAGACTACAATCAAATCTGAACTAGATCAAGAAGCCTTAGATAGTGGCAATTCTAGATTCACAATACTAAATACGGAAGAGCAGGAGTTTGAATCTTTAGCTGTCCTCACCAATTGGAAACTACCTACCATAAAACCCACTAGTATCTATAGGATAGGAACCTTCAACCTTAAAGCCAAATACATTGTGAGGACAATAGAAAAAACTGTCATTAAGAGATGATCAAACACTTATACAGTTATTCGATAAAAAACATTTAAAAGAAAATAAAAAATATAATTACGTACACATAGATACCCTACAAGTAGCTATAGTACCCCTAACTAAACAAGGTCTAAATATCGAAGCATTAGCCTGTGCTTAGGATAATAGACATTTAGATTTTCAGGATTCTTTAGTAGGAGTCATAGAAGCTAGTTTACACCAAGGCCCAGTTTACATTGCTGTTATCCTAACTATATATTAAGCTTAGTTGATCCCAACCTATAAAGGTCTAACTTTAACCAAAGGAGCCCAAGGTCTAAATATGATCCCCGGATCTCATAATAGAGTTGTAATTTATATAATATATTATAGAGTACTTAATTCACTTAATCCTAATAATAAACATAGTAACACTGGAGGTTTTACGACTCTATTTGAGTCAAATAATCATAATAAAACCATAATACCAAAACAAATTAAATGGGAAAATGTAACACTCCCGAAAAATTGGAAGCTGCTACTTGGCACCCTACATGGAGGTCACAGACAATTCCAAAGGACTGAAATAGATTATATTAGGGAATTAGCAAGAGGAGCGGTGCAACTTACTTTTCTAGAGACACCTTTCAGACTTGAAGCACTACCTAGAAGCTCATTAAAAGACAAAACTTTTAGAAGAATCTACTACTGATAGTAATAATAAACAGATGCACCCATAGGAGTTAGTTACCCTGCATATAGAAATAGAAATAGAAATTTTGTTAATGTCCTAGTCTTAGACGAAGAAATAAATTCTTTTGAAATAAATAAAGAATTACTAAAAAAATATTTTTACTCAGTAGAAAATAGAGACCAAAGAAAATTATTTTTAAAAAAATAATCGTAAAGAAGTGTAGACACCCCCTTGAAATTATGGCTAAAAGAACTCCTAAAAACCACGATTCTGAACCTAAAGGACCACACAAACCTTAGTAGACCATAAGTAAACTAGACTCAATTTGTTTGCTCAAAAACTACCAAATCTATCCCAAATTGAAGTAGAGCCCGAGATCTTTCCAACGGTCTAAGAATAGCCTCAATCGGACTTACGAATAAAATGATATAACAAATGACAATTCAGTCCCTGTGAGACCTAAGTGTCGGGCCGCAGGCCAGGCTATAACGAGGCTTGAAAAGCCCATATACAGCTTAATGATGCAGTCAACGCGTTTTATGATACAGTAAAGGTATTTCTTGAATTAGATAAGGCTAAAACTTCAAGATAAATTCAAAATATTCCGAAAAAATTCCATAAAAATTTAAAAAAAATCATCAATTGAATCTTATAAATACCCCCTCTCACTAACCCAAAAAGAAGACAAAAAAGAGACAAAAAAGAAACCCCTTAGAAATTTCTGAAATTAGAAAATTTGTCAAAAAAAACCCAAAAATAGGAAAAATCCTTAGAAAATTCCTAAAAAATTAAAAAAAAATCCCCAAAAATCAGAAAAAATCCCAAAATTTATATTCAACGTCTAGAGATCCCAATTATAATACTAAAAAATTTCTACTCCAATCCTAAGAAAAGCTTAGGTAGACCCTACCTAAAATTCTCAGCTTTTGCCCCTACTTTAGGAACCCTAGATCTAAGTTCAAGAACCTTAGATTTACCAATTCCAGCAAGCAAAGGCACCCAAAAAAAGAGATGGTGGTGCAGATCAGAGTGTAAACAGTTTGGCGCCCACCGTGGGGCACTTTGAGCTTGAGATCCATAATTTAGACTTAAACAAAAAAAACTTCTTTTTTTTTTTTCTCACATTTATTTTTCCAGCAAAATAAAAAATAATAATAATAATAAAAAGAAGAAAAACAAGGTAGATTTGAAAATATTTCTTTTTATTAGATTATATCTTTCCTTTCTAAATCTTATATTTTTCTCGCTCTAAAAATTTAAGGTTTTTTTCCTCTCAATCTTCAAATCATCTTTTAGATTTCTCTTAATCTTTAGATCATCTTTAGTTTATTCTTAGATAATCTTTTTTTTGGATTCATCTTTATCATCTTTATCTTTAGATCATCTTTCTTTTAGATCCATCTTGATCATCTGTATCTTTAGATCGTCTTTGTAGATAATCTTTTAGATCATCTTTATGTTTTCTTTTGAATAAATATTTTTTTATAAAAGAAAAAGAATATATATCTAGGCTTTCTCTACTTTATCTATTTAGATTAGAAATAGATCACATCTTCTTCTTTTTTTTATCAAATTTTTTGTTGTTAAACTTTATCTGTATAGATTAGAATTTTCTTGACTTTATCTTCTTTTTTTAGAAAAAAAGAAAAAAATCTTTTTCTGTTAGACACGTCTTTATCTTGTTTTTTTTAGATAACTAAAAAAAAAAAAAAGAGAAAATTTTTGTTACATAATTTTCTAGTCATGTTTGTAGTTCGTGATGACTCTGATACTGAGTCTACTACGTGGAAAGGTGAATTAGCCACGTTTATAGAGACCTTGGCTAAGATTGAAGTTCCAAATATACTCCCTCAACGATCTTATGTTAAGAATGATCTCGGGGATGTCGAACCCCTTCCTCCGGGTTTCGTGTTCCTAAAGTTTGAAAATAAGTTCAGCGAGAAGGGTGACCTTGATAATCATGTCACCACTTACTTGTTGACTATTCCATCATTAGAAGACAAACCACACTGTCTGAAGGCCATGTTTCAATACACTCTCTCCAGACCACCTCTAACAAGGTTCCAAGAAATAATGTCCAAGTACCTTG